TTGAAATTATTGTTTTGATTGATTATACAAAGTGCACGTTATTTGATTGTCAAAATGATATATCGCCAATTAGAAATCTAAACCCATAATTGTTTAGATATTCTAATATTAGTGGTAAAATAACATAGTTGATTACAAATAGGGTTTTCAATTTATGTTATGGAGATATATAATCTAGTTTAAATGAATCACACTTGTGTATTTGTTGGTTAGAATTGGTAGCCTCTCTAGAGATTAATGTTGTTGGTAAATTAAATTCTAAGATCGTGTCTAGGGTTGTTTCTTGACAAGAGAAATAGACAAAGAGCGTCTCTTGATTTTCGAGAAAGTAAGGAAACGTAGGTTATTAAATCGTATCAATGACCATAACCAATTTGGTGAAAGAATAAAGGATTTTATTTTTGCATCAATGACGATTCTCTGAATTCTGAGATTATACCTTGGGCTGAATATTCGACTAATATTGATCTTCTCTTTAATTTTCATTCTAGAAAATTTGCTTAAATTTAATTTGTTTTAATTCACAACAATCCAAACCCCCCTTTCTTTTATTGTCCTAATCTTTGAAGAATTAAATCTAACTAATCTCTGTGGATGCGATCTTGCTCACCCTTGCTGCAATTTATGTTTCAAGAGAGCAAGTTTTTATTATTTGTTGGATTTGACACCCATCAAGAACAAAAATTTTAACCTCCGGATCACAGTATATAGGTGGCCACACAAGTATAGCTGCAATGATAACACCTTACACAACATGATTCGGTCCAACAAGAATGTTAACATTGGAACTCGTTACACTAATCAAACAATGTAAGATCACTCCACAGCTACAAATGCCAACATCCTTATCGACATGGATCTCCATCCTCCAACCAATGTGGTAGTATACAATATGAACTTAGTACCAGATGTGATAAAAAACTGTGCTAATTCATATTGTTCATCAAAATGTTTCTATTCAAAATGAAATCACGCGTCTCTAAAAGAGACTCATCTTATGTCTTTAATTGTCATATCTCGAGAT